ATGTGGTATTTCTAAAGTTGCTTTAATTAAAAAGCAATTCCAGAGGTACACGAGAGAAAGCAGTGTTTTTCCATTCATAGAAAACTTGAAATTAAAACGCCTTCCAAGCTTTTTAGGTTTACTATTACATAACGCAAGCATCAAAAGTTTCCAAGATCGCCAAAGGACAAGCTTCTTCTTCTTCTTCAAAGGACAAGCATTTTGCGCATCTGAAAATATTAAGATTTTCTTAAGGCTTCCATAAGTTATTTTTTGCTTACATTCTTGTATTTGAAACTGTTTTATTGTGATAGATTTTACAACTGTCTTCTGTCGATCAGATGGCTGGCTTGGATTGCAAACTGTTATGTAAAGATTTGACATATAAGAAAAAAAAATTCCTCAAGCCAAACCCTTCTCCAAACAAATACTAAAAGCATTAGGTAAGCAAATCTTCAAGTAATAGTTACAACCGAAATCTGGTATGGGAACGAATACGTATGTTGTAACAAAACATGGCACTGAAAAAGATCAAATGCTTCACTACTCACTAGCAGTACTACTACTACTGGCTATTGGCTTCACTACTGGCTAACAATAGCTACTGGCTATTCTAGCAATAATTGTCCACCTCTCTAACCACCTCTTAAACGTGACCGTTAGAAAGGTAAAAGTCTGTTATGTTATGGGGCATTTAATTTTAAACATATTCTTAAAGCGCACGGCAGAAATGTTGCACGAATAATCGGGTGTTTAATTTATCACATTCACCATCTTGATAGAGGTGGTGGTTAGCGATACTGGTTTCCGTACCCTCTGGATTCAAACCCCAGAGAAGGCATATGTGTTTGTAGTGTCTATGCGGCATGAAGACATTTAAAATCCTGTTGAACCTAAACACTTGTTGAGTGGCTTGGTGGTAGGGTAAGAGGGATACATCACCATCGGACATGCCTCCATAGAATAAAAATATTTAAATATAAAAAGTAATGTAATAATTATAATAGAAATTAAAAAGTAGCATGACAAAATCCAGAATTCGCGGATTTATTAGATATTCTTTAGATATTACATTAAAATCCTATAAAATTCCATGGAATACTCGAAATTAATCGCCAGAATTCTTTCTGGAAGTTTCTGCTCTTCTCATCAGAATTAAAATTTGAAAAGATCTTAACTGATGTGCCTGTGCGAGAATATATTTGGTTACATTTAATAATACTTTCTGTATTTTACAGGCATTTTTAAGCTGTTATAGAATAATAGCGTGTAGTTCAGACTTTAAGCCAAACAAACTTCTAAAGTTTTGTTAAATGTTACCAATTCTAATATCGACACTATTAGGTTCTAAATTTAATTTCTACGTTTTTGTCATAAAAGCATTTTAATGTACGTTTTAAAACATGCCTATATATATATCCGATGTAAAATCTTAATATTTTAATAGGGAAATAAAGAATAGCTTCTGGTAATTTATTTTAGCACAATATGTTTGAAATTTAAATTAATGGAATATTTTCGCAGTTTTCTAAGTCATAACCAAACTATGCAAAGGTTCAAAAAAATATTTGAAGTAAAAAAATGGTTTCACTTTAGTGTCAAGATCTGATTACTCTTAAAAAAGAAGGAAAGCGCACTCACTGAACTGCATTCGAAAAAAAGTTCCGACACTTTGCAGATTCTTCGAACCATTCTTTAAAGTACACCATATCACATGCAGCTATTGCTATTTTCGTTTTTGCATTTGTAACCAATTCACCACGTTATATGCACATCATTCATCATTAGCAGAAGACGACGGTTTATTTGAGATTAGAAACCACGGACACCCATTAGGAATTCTTTTGTTCCTTCTTGTTTTCGCTATGCATCACGAATTTAACTTCTGAAGAGGGGAAAAAAACTTACAAATCATACAAGTATTCATTCAAATATGTTTCGTGTGTTTACGACGAGTGCACTAACAATTGCTCTGATAACCCTTCAAACATACATAGGTAGAATGAAACGTTTTTCGGACCATTGAATAAGAAAAACACTCATCTCGTCGGTTGTTGATTTCTGATCCGGTACTTCGTAAATTTTATATTCAATCGCCGTATGGTATACCGCGCATATGCAAGCAGATTTGTTTCACACCATTTTTATTAGAAATTAGCAGCTGCCTGCTTCAATAAATAACCCTCCAATTCTCCTCTGATATCATCTTCAACCATAATGAATCGGAAAACTTAAAGTTCAATATAACGATTAAAATGATGTCATTAATTCAATCTGCAAACTGTACCAGACAATAGCACAAGGGCAAATAGAACGGTTTGAAACTCTCGGTTTCAGAGAACTGTTGAATTTTGCTGCAACCGCTGAGCACTGGTAATTCGGTCCAACGTTCAAATCCCGGCTAACGGACTGGCTGAATGGGTGTTTTCTTGATTTTCCGCATGTGTATAGTGTATGCAGTATCTTCTGGATGCATACGAGAATAAAGCGGGCGCAGCTCGCGCAAAACCGTTAAACGCTGGTAGTTCGGTCCAACATTCGAATCCCGCCAAGCGCGCTGGCTGCATGGGTGTTTTTCGTGATTTTCTGCATCGTGTATGCATTGTCTTCTGGAAGAATACGTGAATAAAGCGGGCGGGGGCATCGGAAACCCTTGAACGCTGGTAGTTCGGTCCAACTTTCGAATACCACGAAGGCATCCATCCCCTGAGGTAGCGGGCTTGCCCGCTAGTAATTTATTATATTGAAAGTCACAGTAGAATTTCGATATACGTCATTAATCCGTTCCAGATCCTTGGACTTATATCAAACTGGATGTATACCAAACGAACGTTTCCGATGAGAAATAAAGATAAAATAATTAATCCGTTCTGATAAAAAAAAAACCTATTGTTATTATTATAACACTGTTTAATTCTAAAATACTTATTCACTGAGTGAAAAATATACTGTATTGTAAATAAAATATTGTACATAAATAAATATTGTACGTAAATATTTTTCTTGTCTTCGAGATCAAAAGCATTTTCTTAACATGCTCTAACGTCTCTGATTTTTGGTGGTGAACGATTCACCCCCTTCGCAGCGTTGGCCGATTTAATAGAATCTTAGTTTTTCATAATGGTAGCTACCAGAATACGGTATGCAGTAGACAAGCCCCTCATCCGCAAGCCATCTCCATACCTTTTAGCTGCAAATAACTTAATTCAAATTAATACAGCAGATGCTCTTCCAACGTTTGATAATATGTATGCACAAGGTTGGCCAGACCATACGTTTGCTACAACATCACCCGCAGCCGCACTTATACAAGATTCGACGGCGGTCGAAGAAATTAGCTCATCGGACCATAATTACATCACCTATAAAATCGATAGAACTATCACTACGACTTTTATCAAAAGATATTACTTGCCAGGAAGAAAGAGCATTTATAAAAATAATAAAATTACGACTTTCACATTCCACAGACGCCTAAATAATATAAGATCTACAGCAGACACAGAGCATTTTATGTATGATTTGATAACTTCTGTATATGAAGTATGTGAAGAACAGCTCCCCATAAGAACAAATAAATAAATTAACAAGCTGTAGTAGTGGAAAAGTGAGCTACGCATACAAAAGAAAAAGTGCCGCGCGCTGAGAAGACGTTGAAAGAAGAAATAACGAATAATATTGAGTCTAACACTCTCTCTCAAAAGAAACGGCTTTATACAAACGGATGATTATCGGAGCAAAAATAAATTTGGGAAAAGTTTTGTACATATAATACTGTTACATTTGCTATTTACCCCAAGATTGTAATGGATAAGCTCTACAAACCTTCGCATTATTTTAAATCGGCGACCCCTCACCCTTCCCCATACCATTTTTGGGGTGCTCTAGACAAGGGGGGGCGCGGTGCTATACCAATTAATCGCTGTGGTAGAGGGGTGGTGCTCGCGTCCTCCGTCACTTGCCATATATTTTAGCAGTTTCGTTTTTCGCCTCTGTGGTGATCCTAATCACATTTTTCGTTGCTTGACTTTTCTCATTAACTTTCATTGTTAAGGACTTTAACAAAAACGTTTACTCAAAAAAAAAAAAAAAAAAAAAAAAAAAAAAAAAAAATCTGAAATGTTTCAGATTTTAAATTACGTCTAAAGGGGCGTTTTTAACATTTTTGTGTTTACCTTTCTTATTAAATATCATGTTCCTCGCACTTAAACCATAAGATCCAGTGCAACAGCAATATCGCAAAATAGTTTTAAAACGAGCATATCTTTAGAATTTCCGATACAGAGACTCACGCGCTGGAGATATAAAAATGTTGTTTTTTCTGCGCAACGTTGCCATTGCTCGCTTTGAAAATCCTTGAGTTTGTTAATCAAAAATTCGTCAAAGTTTTAAAAAATAGGAAATCGATCATAAAACAAATTTCAAAATTCAAATTTGGTCTTCCACATGCTCATATTCGTTGGAGGATTACGTTATTCAAAATTCGATGACTCTGTGTACCGTTGTGTTTTATCACAATACGAGAAAATATACATACATTTATGCAGATTTTTCATTATTTAATTTCTTCAAATATAATGCAGGACTCTAACATTTTGTGGCAACAGTTTGAAAAGTGAACCGACATTTATGAGTCCGACGCAAAATGCCAAAACGAAACTAATAGTCCTTCGGGATTCAAATCCCTTTGGACTAAAAAACACAAAGTTAAGTTAAAATTCAGAGTTACAGCGCAGTTTGTTTACTGAATAGTATTAACAGACCCATTACAATCACTGTCTCGAAAAAAGTAAATAAGTATAGCGGGCTCAGTCATGACTCATGAAACGCGAGTCGTATTCCAAACAACTATCATGTACCAAACAAAAAGTCCAAACAAGACATATATCAAGTCGGACTTATTTCAGAACTTACGTATATCGAGATACTACTGTATTTTCAATGTTTGCCTTTCAAAAAGGCCTAATATTTGTGATATTGTTTGCAACAGCTTCTATATGACATGCTTATCTTTTTTTCAGATTTTTATGCACAAGTCTGCAATGCAACACCATTCCCGAGAGGCTCATAGGGGAGATATCAAACCCTATCAGTGCCAGCAATGTCTGAAATCTTTCTCTTCCAACCATCAGCTACTGCAGCATATACGAATCCACACGGGGGAGAAGCCCTATAAATGTTCCTACTGCGACAGGCGATTCAAGCAACTCTCCCACGTGCAGCAGCACACGAGGCTTCACACAGGTACCCTACCCGTTTACTAACTCAGTAAAAGCAGAATGGTTATTCTTTTTGAAATTATACATTTGCTTTGATATGTTATTCATCTGCAGTGCTGAAGGGTTACTGCTTTGTTCTTCGTTTTCTTCCTACTGCTTTGTTCTTCGTTTTCTTCCTACTGCTTTGTTCTTCGTTTTCTTCCTACTGCTTTGTTCTTCGTTTTCTTCCTACTGCTTTGTTCTTCGTTTTCTTCCTGTCATTGTTACGATGTCCGAGCGCAATTTTAAGAATACCTACTTGGGCAGAAAGTAAGACTTTTGAGTTTTGTTTCTTAAATTGCTTAACAGTATTTTGCATTAAGTTTTTGATAGTATTTCACATGCTCTAAGTATTCATCATTAATTCTTATTGATTTCCGTCACGAGATATCTGACCATTACTTAGAAGTATTTGATGCCATTGACTGAACATGAACACGCCAACATTGACAGTTAATAGTGTTCAACGTTGTGTTACAGTTTGGCTGGGAATCTAAGTCTTGTAATAACTGAAGTAATTATTTTTGCCTTTTACGATACTTAAATTTTAATTATCTACGGGTTATGGGTTTGAAATAATGCGTGGGTGGCATATACGGTCAAAGGAGCTGACAGGCAGATACAAAAGGCTGTTTTTAAACTGAATGTAGAAATAAATTGCACAAATGATATTTTTCTGAAAAAATCTGTGCTTGCTACGTTACCAAGAAGTAGGTGCTTTGATTCCTTACAGATATCCTTAATCTTTACGAAAGGGCCCCCCAGCAGCCGACCGGTAAAGACGCTGAACACTGGTAGTTCGGTTCGAGGTTCAAATCCCGCGAACAGGCTGGCTGCGTGGGCGTTTTCTTGGTTTTCCCCATGTGTAACGTTTATACGAGCCAGTTTTCCTTAGAAAGTCCTCCACGAAAGCATCCCTCCCTTTAGGCAGGTAGCCTTCGTGTGCTTTGCCATAATTAAATAATCCAAGCTAATCTTTACGAAAGAAACTGTATAGATAATTTTTTCACTACAGCAACTCTGATAATCAGAAGAAAATTCTGAAAAGTTTCAGATTTCATTTAATGGCAGTTTTTTTCATTTATACACGCATACGCTTTCGAGAGCATTTGGTCCCTAACACCCCTTTGGGCTAAAAATATTTAAATACAGCATATCTTTAGAAATTCCGATAGATAGTCTCGCGCGCTGGAGTCAAAAATGTTTTTTTATCATACAGTAGTGCCAACGCTGGCCGAAATCGCAGAGTTTTTTAATCAAAAATTCGTTAAAGTTTTATAAAATAATAGGTAATAAAACAAATTCGGCTTCCAGGTGCCCATGTTCGAGTGGAGCACTACGTTATTCAAAATTTCATGCCTCTAGTACCGTTGTTTTTTACAGTGCGAGAAATATATATGCGTTTCATCCAGACTCGTCATTATTTAATTTGTTTAAATTTAATACGGGACAATAATATTTAGTGGCAACAGTTTGAAGAGTGTTTCAAAGCTTTCAGTGTTTCGACATAAAATGCCGTTTCAAGAATAATAACCCATCTGAGCTAATACCCGTTTGGGCTAATAAATTTAAAGCCATCTGCAGGAACTCATTAAAATATTCTCAGGCCCTAAGCACAGCCTTGCTTCACGTGCCTTCAATGCTTCTTTCATTGTTTCCATGAGATTAAAACAAGTTTACAAGCAATTATAAGATGGTGCCGCGTGAAACATAGGGCTTAGTCCCTGCCTTGTAGCCCCAGTGATAATCAGGGCTTGTTCTTCAAATATTCTTTAGGTCCTTTGAAATTTCTGCATCATACGTTAATGGCGATGCATGCTGACAAGCATATCGCATATCGATTGTTATCATATGTTATCATATGTTAAAAACTGTACTATAAAATATATAAAGTAGTAAATGATTTTACACATCTGAAGCTAATGCAGTTCTCTTGAGTGCTTTTAAAATTAGTTTATCTAAGTTATGATATTCAGAGGTTTAGGTACGTATTAAAACTACTTTGGATTTAGTATTTTGAATTCATTATTATTTTGGACTCGTGATTATATAAACGTAGTATTATTATATAGTATCTTGTATAAATGCTTTCCTATTCCACTCACATCGCAGTTGATATCTCAAATTATAAGAGACTAAATTTCCAAAATCATTATTCTTCAAATACTTACATTCAGTTTAAAGTAGCATTCTAAGCAGGCGCAATTCAGTTAACACATTAAAAGAAAATTAGTACATTTTTCCTTCAATCAATTATTAATTTATATTACCTTCTAAGCATTTAATTGTAGTACCAGCCATTTATTAATATAAAATAGTTGTTTTAAATAATAATGTATAACAGTTAACTCAGAGGAAAGTCCAGAGTTTGAAATGATATGCAATTGTTACGTTTTTCTTCACGTACGAGTTCGTAGATTTGAAATGAATAACGACGACACTTGATGAAGTATCGAAAAACAATTTATTAGCCAGTATTACTCAGTACAGCTGCAAAATCACATTTACAGTCGTCGAATAACTACTATAAACGTGCTGAAATAATCAGAGACACAGCCTTCAGGCTATAATGGTGAAGACAGCTTTACGGCAAAGCATCAGAGTACAGCTCCCGACTCTGCTCGGTCGTTCTTGGAACTCTACGTACTCTCGAGACTCTCCACGCTAAAACTCGCGATGCACTTGACGAAACACAAGAGTACAGCTCCCGACTCGGTTCAGTCGTTCTCGTAGCTCAACACACTTTAAGATGAAACTCGACGATGCACTAACTCGCAATACACTAACAGACTCTCTCGATGCACTCGACGATCAAATAGGCACTAGACTACGAGACACTCTCTCACTGACTCGACTAGGCACTCTCTGACTGACTATCAGCTCTTTAGACGAGACACCGACTGACTTTCCGCAGGGTTTATATGGCTTTTGGCTTGTGTTCGAGAACATTCTGGGCTAAACCAGTGAGAATTCGTTCAGAAGGTTCTCCATCCGTGTATGGCACATCGCTAATTTTTGTCGCCAAATGGGCGATTGCGGGGAAGCTGTCTTACCGCGGCTGGACATTTCGTAACACAATATTTCACATTATAATAGTTCAGCGATTTCGGATGTGCTTCCATAAATTCGACACATATAATCATCCATACGATTCGACGATTTTCAGCGAATGTCCGCTAATTTGCCTGGCGAAACAGCCTCTGGCTTGACCTACATAACAGCCCGTACAAGCGATGAGAATAATGCATTTCACTCTGGTCGGTACCAGGGAATGTTAAGATAAAATAGTACTGTTATCTCTGATTGTTACACCATATTCAGAGATGGCCTAGGCTCCGTTCAGACGGTGGTATAAATGTCATAACTGGTTTAAACCGAGCATCGTTGCTAGGTAACCAGACCTTGCTACGTTACAAAAACTGGTTTAAGGGTTTTGATATAAAGTTCGAAGTTTTCAGCCTTTTGCCGACTTGGCATGAGTCTACCAATCACAGTGAAACCTATTGACCGGGAAAACAGAGCTGAAAATGGTGCGGACAGATCCACACATGCGTAAATTTAGCTTGTCTTATTGCCAACGGATTAGACACTGTCTTGCAGGTGTGAAAGGAACACCCGCATTTTATGACTATGCCCCTATGGCATTTACAGCACCATCTGAAGATGCTTACTTTTCAAAATGACCGAAAAATACATAGGTTCATTTGCAGAATGAAATTAATCAAAAGGAGCACATTCGAAACCTTTTGGCGTATCTGGAGACGACGTTATGCCTCGGAATCGCCAGTTCCACCTCTGCGTTCCTTTCTTTTACACTCTACGCTTGACATGTCAAACAATCTGTAAAATCTGATTTTACGCCTTTTACTTGCAAAGGCGATCCACCCCTGCGGCGGAATGTTTCATGTTTCTCTGATTGTTACACCATATTCAGAGATGGCCTAGGCTCCGTTCAGACGGTGGTATAAATGTCATAACTGGTTTAAACCGAGCATCGTTGCTAGGTAACCAGACCTTGCTACGTTACAAAAACTGGTTTAAGGGTTTTGATATAAAGTTCGAAGTTTTCAGCCTTTTGCCGACTTGGCATGAGTCTACCAATCACAGTGAAACCTATTGACCGGGAAAACAGAGCTGAAAATGGTGCGGACAGATCCACACATGCGTAAATTTAGCTTGTCTTATTGCCAACGGATTAGACACTGTCTTGCAGGTGTGAAAGGAACACCCGCATTTTATGACTATGCCCCTATGGCATTTACAGCACCATCTGAAGATGCTTACTTTTCAAAATGACCGAAAAATAAATAGGTTCATTTGCAGAATGAAATTAATCAAAAGGAGCACATTCGAAACCTTTGGCGTATCTGGAGACGACGTTATGCCTCGGAATCGCCAGTTCCACCTCTGCGTTCCTTTCTTTTACACTCTACGCTTGACATGTCAAACAATCGTAAAATCTGATTTTACGCCTTTTACTTGCAAAGGCGATCCACCCCTGCGGCGGAATGTTTCATGTTTCTCTGATTGTTACACCATATTCAGAGATGGCCTAGGCTCCGTTCAGACGGTGGTATAAATGTCATAACTGGTTTAAACCGAGCATCGTTGCTAGGTAACCAGACCTTGCTACGTTACAAAAACTGGTTTAAGGGTTTTGATATAAAGTTCGAAGTTTTCAGCCTTTTGCCGACTTGGCATGAGTCTACCAATCACAGTGAAACCTATTGACCGGGAAAACAGAGCTGAAAATGGTGCGGACAGATCCACACATGCGTAAATTTAGCTTGTCTTATTGCCAACGGATTAGACACTGTCTTGCAGGTGTGAAAGGAACACCCGCATTTTATGACTATGCCTATGGCATTTACAGCACCATCTGAAGATGCTTACTTTTCAAAATGACCGAAAAATACATAGGTTCATTTGCAGAATGAAATTAATCAAAAGGAGCACATTCGAAACCTTTTGGCGTATCTGGAGACGACGTTATGCCTCGGAATCGCCAGTTCCACCTCTGCGTTCCTTTCTTTTACACTCTACGCTTGACATGTCAAACAATCTGTAAAATCTGATTTTACGCCTTTTACTTGCAAAGGCGATCCACCCCTGCGGCGGAATGTTTCCATGTGCCACAACACTCAAGTTGATGATCACGCAAAATATGAAGCTCTCTTCCCCCCCTTTTTTTGTGTGTGTGTGTGTGTTTGTTTGTTTGTTGTTGTTTTTAAGCATCGAAGACGCCTCTGTTTCTCAATTGAAACCTCCTGCGAGTTGTCACGCCTGCGAGCTGTTGGTTCACATAGAAAATTAAAGTTTAACCCAAGCAAATCTCTTATTATTTGAGCCCTCCTTTATCAATTGGAACAGAGCGATAGACCGCAAGAATTTTCTTTAGGAAAATCCAGTCTCCTGGGAAAAAATATCCAAGTCTTTGTTTGCTCCAAAACAAGAGTTTCTGTACGCCTAACATTGCATATGCCGAAAAGTTTTCCTTTTCTTTCCCCATAGGGCAAACAATGACAATCGCCAGCTTTAATTGCAAGGGAACGTTCTCATGGGTACAGTTACCTCCCCTCCCCCCGCTTACTTGCGCTTGATTATCCCTTCACTTTCCAACTTCAAGTGGCACTCCTATATCTTTTTTTCTGTTAATCTTAGAAAGTATTTCACAAAACTGAGATTAAGGTGTTCAAACACTAAAGAGCTCAATAAATCGCTTACTAATTTAAATTTCTTAGTAATTAACAATTAATACATTGATTTAACTTTCTAACAATTATACTTTGTATATTAAACCATTGTAGTTCGGTCTAGGGTTCGAATCCCATCGAACGGGCTGGCTGCAGCGTTTCCATGTTTTTTCTCATGTGTCAGTTATATACGAGCCAGTTTTCCTTTGAAAGTCCTCCACGAAGGCATTACTTCCCTTAGACAGATAGTCTTCTTGTCCTTTGCCGTAATCAAATGCAGATTACACCACTATCGAAGTTGTATTACAGAAGACTGAAAACCTTTATAAACAAAGTAGAACTTTAACTGTGAACTAACTCGCAAGTTTTTTGAAGCAGATCTGTAAATATTTTGATTGCCTTTAAAAAAATATGTGAAGGAAGATAAAGAAAAAGTTGAATCTAAATCATCAAGCACACTGCTCTACTATTTCAAGCCTCCAGCTCAACGCTAGCCACTTATAGCCAACCTCTGACATCGAGGAAGCATACGTAGAAGCTTAGCCGTAGAATCTCAAGCGAATCAAATCTTAAAATTTTCATAGTTGATTGATTCTGTTCTTTTTTCTCTCAAACCCTTTTTTTTATATTTTCGGCCAACCAATCTTTGATAACTAAGCCTAATATGCCATCATCACAATAAACTGTTTCCAGTCCTTCTTTCGTACTGACTTTCTTTCCTATTCCAGACTGTGTTATTATACTGTACATGTGCTAGTTATGTATAACAAGATTATTATGTAGATTATTATTATAGTATATGTATAATAACATGTTAGACTTACATTAGGTTCTGTCTGTTATGCATTAATTTTAAGGTCTAAGAACAATATTTATTTCCTACTTAATTTTCCTACTTAAAGGTAATACCTATTACGCATTTTGTCATTTCGGTTTAGTAAATATTTTACAGTAACATTGTACTTTTTGTAAGGCAGGGAAAACTGTGTTTTAGAAATTAGATGTTCATTTGTATATGCATTTGTTTGTGTATTTTATATCCTAAGTAATTTTTTTCAAGCTTCTCTTAAGTAACCGACTCTCAAAATGTATTTTGTATTGCTTGTTTTTATGTAAGACTTTTTTTCCTACATGAACATATCAATCATTCTTTCTTGTATATATATCTGCATAGGTAATTTACTTCTTAGTTTCGGAATCTTTGGGTTCGGAATGTTTTTTATACATTAAAAAATATTTCTTTCCTTGATAATGATCAGTAAATAATTAAAAGTAATATGAGAAAATTTTCTTATGTGATTTTTTTTTTCAGGGGAGCGACCTTATAAATGCCACCTCCCCGAGTGTAATCGGGCCTTTATTCAGCTGTCTAATTTACAACAGCATCTACGAAACCATGAAAGCCAAGTCGAAAGAGCCAAGAACAGACCATATGTGTGTAACACATGTGGTAAATGCTTCGCCACCGACAGCAGTCTACGGACGCATGGCTCTAAAGTAATGAGCTGTAGCCAAAATAACGTAATACACCATTTATTTTGTAGATTAGATTATATTTTTATTTATTTGAACCTTTTTTACTTGTTTTGCAGTTCGTAGTTTATGTATCTTAAGCCTTTAGTGCAGATGAAATATTAGAAATGAATGCATGATGTGAATACTGTGCTAACTAATACTTTATTGCTTTCCCGTGTAACGTTAAGTAGGCATTTTTCGCAGTGCTTCAGGTAAATGTATTTTGAATCAATCTTTTATGTTCTTTATGCTTGCCAGTGGCAAAAAAATATATATAAAATAATTTATGTCTAAAAGTAATTGCATTTAATTAAAAAGTTTTTACTTCTTAAGATGCGGAAATTGAGCTATGGTTCAAAATTGCGAACAAAATCTATTTAACTCTGTCATGTGTCGAACTGTGCTGCTTTTTTCCTAACCTGCACACCAGCGGCCGAATAGTAAAATGGCTGAACACTGGGAGTTCTGATCTGGGCTGGATTACAGGCAAAGGGGCTTGATGCATCGGCGTTTTCGTGGTTTTCCTGGTGTGTAACGTGTATAAGAGCAAGTGTCTTGTAGAATGTCCTCCAAGAAAGCATCCCTCACCTTAGGCAGATAGTCCAAATGTGTTTTGCTAAAATCAGCTAAACCAAACCAAACCCACTTTCCTAACCAGATGACTTCAAATTGACTGATCTGCATTTTATTACGACTGAACAAATATGTTTGATTGTTTAACAACGCACCTGTAAATAACTCGGCTTTACTTTGTCTCTCCCAGCTATACCTGCATCATTGATGTAGGTTCATTTGAAAGACACGATTCTTCTTACAAACAGAAGACTTAAGGAGGGAAAGGATAGGTGTTATTCTTTTATCCCTATTAACTACTTCTGAGCATTAGGATAAGCAGGCGCTTTATCAAGAATCAAGACACCTTTTGCAGCTTAGGAACACAGAAATCCTGATTTTCAGGAACACACAAATCCTGATATGGTGGCCTTTCTAATACTAAACGGTTGAAGAACCAGTTACGAAAGGTATCACGTGTAAATCAGGTGCGTTTTGAATTGGAATAAATGGCTGTCAACTGCTTCATGATATTCTTCAAAGTGGAAAGTTTCCTTGCTTGTTCCGACAACCATATGTACAGACTGAGCCCTATGTGGGCAGCGTATACTGAGCCCTATGTGGGCAGCATATGATAGGGCAGCTTTCCATATTTAGTTTTCGTCCACGTATGCTGTATTTATGTTTGCACGCAAGGGTATTTTCAGAGAGAATAGTTATTTGACATTTCTAGCCTGGTGGCGAGCCGAGATTCAGAATGAACATTGATTCTCGGCGGATCTCTATCTGTACCATCCCTCCCTTATCAGGGGACAGGATCACTACAGTGGATATAATTGCTTGGAGAGGAATTATGTTGACCAGCCGCACAACCCTGCATGTGTTTGACAAAGGTTTCCTGACTCTTATGATGTATAGGAAGGAGATCATAGAGCTATATGTTCGACTTTCCAGGGGCACAGTCCTGGGTTCCTTTTAATGGAAAACAACGCCTGTCCACATAGGGCTCAGTTGGTAGACGTTTACCTAGAAATTGAGGATATCCGCCATATGGTTGGCCAAGCCAGACCTTAACCCTATAAAGCATGCCTGGAACACTATTGGGAGTACAACTTTATCTCTCCATCCTCCTCCGAGAGCCATTCCGAAGTTAAAAACTGCCTTGCTACAGAAATGGGATTGACTGCCACAGAGACTTCTAAACTGCCTCCTCTTCAGTACGCTGTCACGCTGCCCAGTATGTCTCTGGGTGTGAAGAGGGGACCATACGCCATATTAGACTCATTTTCAGTTCGCTATCATAATGTGGATTTTTGATTTCCCTGCACTATAAGCTTTACTGAAAATCATGCGTACATGAAATGACTTTTGAATAGTACATCTCTTTCTCTGTCATAAATTAGTAGTCATACCAAATTTCAAATTTCATTAAAATTTGCCCCATTAGTTTTTCAGAAATTTGACATAATTTGCAAATTTTCAGTTTTCCTGTCCACCAACGGCCGAGTGGTAAAATCGCTGGACACTAGTAGATTCGAGACGGACGGGCTGGCTGCTTGGGCCCTTTCGGGGCTCACCTCATGTGTAAGGGGTATATGAGCCAGTTTTCCTCAGAAAGTCCTTCACGAAGGTATCCATCCTCTTGTGCTTTGCCGTAATCAACTAAACTGAAACTGAAACCTCTTAATTTTGCTCCCGAGTGTGCATTTGTCAAGTTCTGTCTAGTGGTTCGGAGTTCGGTGAATTGAGAGATTTTACTGGGTTAGTTTACGCACGCTAAACGTGATCTGTGTGCCGTTTTAATGATTATGCGACTGTGGATCAGAGGTGCTCAGTTGGCAACAAATAAGAAGAAAAGACAAGCAGCAGTGACACTTGTTGAAAGTTGCATGCCGCATGTTGTCATGTATTGTCCTTTTTTTAAATCACCCTGATGTGCCTCTGATAGATCGATGACATACCTAAGCACTGAGCCCATGAAGCAGGATGTTACCGCACCTTTTAAGGTAGTCCTCAGATCATTCTGTAATTCTTCATAACCATATTTTCTTCTCATAGAAATATGAAAAGTGGGCATAATTGCCTTCTGAAAGAATACTGTGCCTAAAGGCCTGACCATTTTGATGGAGTCCTAAACGTAGGACTGAAGGCTCAAAATATCTGTAATATGTATTAGGGCCTGAATGGTAATGGAGACCATCGGCACGCTGCACCATAGTACCAGAGCAGTGACAGACGCATCAATGTTGCGTTTAGAAGTGAGGATGCAGTACCAAACTTTTGCGCGTGCTCGATGATTTTGGCTTTATCCTATTCGCAATCGCCTGTCGTGGCAGTGAGAGCTGAAGCAATGATCACCTAGCGAAAATCTCATTGTTGTTGAAGAATTCGCTCTGATCGGTATAGTGGTTAGCGATGTTGGCTTCTGTATCATTGGACCGAATTCGAATGCCAGAGAAGGCACGGTTGCATTTAAATACTGACGAGTCGAAACTCGTCTCGAGTGGCGTGGTGATAGCGGAAGAGGAGTGTAAGTCCCTGGGATCTGTCTTTTGCAGTTTATTCTTCAAAATGGGGGCGGATCTGCACAGTCGGTGCGGTGGAACTATCCTGCATGACCAATGATGAAATTCTAGCGTCTCTACCACTTCTGCCTATATAACTGCTGTTGCATCCCTACATTTACACGCTACTTACTGTGCAAAGCTTATGCGCCAAGTTGACTGATTTGGTTGTTTTCTTAACCTGTAGTTGTTTACTCCATCTCGTTTGTGTGTCTTTCGTGTTAGTGAATCGGTCCGTCTTCAGCTCATTGAAGTTATATTCTGATACCTGATTTCATTCAATACAACATCCATATTTCGGTAGAAATTGTGTTTTCTCATAATCTCGTAATAAGTTTTCTTTGATCAAAACTTGAAACTTTGTTTAACACCTTGCTGTATTTTTTTAAACCTGAACCCTTTAATGGGCAACGCTCAATAGCGAACACAACTTTAGAGCTTCAAACCTACTCGGTGTCCCTTCCACTTTTACAATTCAGGAGCCCACTACTTTCGGAACAGAAATCTTCAAGTCTGTCGAATGTATGCTTTTTGATGTTGTACGTTTGATGATATGTAGTGCAGAACTCTTAATTAAACCTGAGAGAAAATAGATTCCCTTTGTCACTCTCGACAAGACCTCAGTAAAAATTAGCCCAAATGCTGCATTTCGAAATGTGAAATGTACCTTTCTTGTCATCATTATACGTAGGTAAGTTGAAAAATAAGTTTTCCCTGTCGACTGTGGTCAGAGTTGTGTATGAAAGTCAAAAAATAGAATGAGACATTAAAGATATGACATACCTTTATTTTTCCACATAGGTACCAAAGTACATTGAGACATTTGTCATATCGCTTGATAAGCTTCAAAGAGTCCTCCAGGAAAAAATCAGGGCTTTGCATATGGAAACATCCGTCATCACCTGTCCGAAAGAAGTTCAAGACAACTCCCTCTGCAGGTAAAGTGCTCCTCACAGTTTTTCTGGAACGCCCAAGGAGTTTTGTTGCTGGACTTTTTGGAGGTTGGAACCATCAATACTACGCGCTAGTGTGACACCCTGTCGAAATTGAAAGAGGCAATTTGGAAAAAGCGGCCTGGCCTTCTCACATCTGGCGTTCTGCTGTTGGATGACAATGCCAGACCAGATTCGGCGACGGCAACGCAAAACGATATTGCAACTCTTGGTTGGGAGCGTCTACACCATCCGTCATAGTCCTGATCTCGCACCAAGCGACTTCCATCTGTTTCCGGCTTTGAAGAAAAATCTCGGGGGAAGGCGCTTTGGAAGCAATACTAAAGTGAAACAAGCCGTTCAACGCTTCTTCCATATGCAAAGCCCTGATTTTTTCCTGGTGGGCTTTTTGAAGCTTATCAAGCGATATGAAAAATGTCTCAATGTACTTGGTACCTATGTGGAAAAATAAAGGTATGTCATATCTTTAATGTCTCATTCTATTTTTTGACTTTCATACACAACTCTGACCACAGTCGACAGGGAAAACGTATTTTTAAACTTACCCTCGTACCATCAACATTAAGGATTCCTTTCTAACTAGAATAAGATTATATACCGAGTTGAAGCTTTACTAAATATGTATTATAGTAGAGAAAGCGGGCCCACCAGCGTCCGAGCGGTAAAGACGCTGAACACTGGTAGTTCGGTCTGAGGTTCGAATTCCGCGAACGGGCTGGCTGCATGGGCGTTTTCGTGGTTTTCCTCATGTGTAACATGTATACGAGCCAGTTTCCCTTAGAAAGTTCTCCACGAAGGCATCCCTCCCTTTAGGAAGATAGCCCTCTTATCCTTTGCTATAATTGAATGATCCTAATCCTAATCCTACAGTAGAGAAAGCCTTTCTTACTAATTTAACTCCTCGAATATGTCATGTATCAGACTGAAAATTAACAAA